AGTCCAGCACTGCATCACAAGTAATTGGCTGCTTGTGCTGTTTCTCCCTTTTCCAGTCTGAGCTCTGTTGTACAGGGACTGCAACAGGCTGTTACCAAGTCAAATTCACATATTGCATTAAAAAAACAAAGAAACAAATGTAAGACATTCAGAGCTATATTAGATCAAACTAAATTACAGCAATACAAATTACAACAGACAGCACATCATTGGACATAATTGCTTACTCCCTTTCCCAATTCTCCAATCGAAATTTAATTTGCCCCCACATTATTACTATACATACCTCCAGGTTTCCCATGCCTTCAGAAGTCAATTTCCAGGTCAATGAGTATCCCTTTCTTATTCACAGTTAGAGGCTATCCTTCACTTGCCAGAACTGGAGGAACCTACATTGGCACTATACTGATACCTCTTAGTGGCGGCGAACCCAGACTTATCCTCTCTACAACAGAAATGGCAGGTGGATATCCCTAGTCTGGATTATGAAGACTGGTCCAAGATTTGGCATTCTCTCTTTTCTCCACTAGTCTGTGCCAGAGATAAATTAATAAACTTAAAAATTTGACACCGGGCTTATTTTACCCCATACCAGCTTCACAAGATGAACCCCTCATTCCCTTCAGCCTGCTGACGCTGTTCATATCACACTGGTGAATTCTTTCATATTTTTTGGTCCTGCCCTGCTATTGTGCCATATTGGCAGGAGGTGCTACAAATTATTGGAAATACAGTGCAAATTATAGTACCCCTTGAACCTAAAATATTGTCTGTTGGGGCTGCAGGACCCATTGGCTCACGCAGTGGCTAAGCATACCCTCCTACAGTTACTGTTATTTTATGCCTGTAAAGCAATTACAATGCACTGGAAGCAAGCCTCTCTACCCACAAGTTTTTAGAAGCGCTTTGTAAATTCCAACCTGTCTCTATACCAAACTACCTATGCTAATAGAAGGTACCCCTGTTAAATTTAAAAAAAATATGGTCCTGCTGGCTAGACAATACCTTCACCGCCACCATGGTAGACGATAGATTGGCTTAGAAGTGTATGTATTCCTTTGATGTGTCTTTTTCTACTTTTAAAGAGTCCCTTCATTATTTCTGAATTTAATTGTGACTGGTTAAGCCTTGCATGTCAAGTAATTCCCGACAAAAACCCAACAACAACAAAAAAGTACTACAGACAAGCAAAGTCTCTTTTGCATAAAAAATATCCTCTGGCCTTTTGCAGCAGTTGCCATGCAATGTACAGTCCCAGCTCATTCCTGGAATGTCTAAAGCTGGCCATATAGGGATCAGAGTTTGGCCCGATCAGGAGGAACCAGCCGTATTTCAATCCATGTATAGCCATTCCCCATCTATTGGTAGCTTAAGATGCTGAGCATTTAGCTTGGGGTTATGGACAATGTAGCTTCTTTGTACATGTGCAAGGTTTTTCAACATCAGTGTGAAGGCAGGTTGCCTATTATTAGTTTAGTGTAGAGACTGCCCAGCATGGAGGGATGGAGTTAACACTGTGCTACCATTTCCTGGGTCTCTTTTAGTGGGCTTTTTTGGGTCTGACCCACTGATCCTGTGGACATAAAAAAGGAAAGGGGTCTGGATCCAGGGAGCAGTCTGCCAGAACCAGTCTTGTCATATCTTCCTTATCATGTGAAGCCCGGAGTTTCTGTTGATGGTTGCCTGGCTTCAGGAGCCTTCCAAAGCATAGAGGTATTGCTAGGACCTGCACCCTGCCCTGAAGACACCAGTTCTGGAGATCTGCCACCAATGACTCTGCCAAAGATGGACTCTTGCCTGTGCAGGTATGCTGGGGCAGCTACAAGCTTGAGTTAGGGATTAGGGACATAAGGAAAAGACTGTTACAGTTATCTGGAATGACCGTGTTTTTCAGTAAAGCAAACTTTGTTCTTGCCTAGTCTGAAGTTACTAAAGGAGTGTATGTGAATAACTGACACACATAGTCTACACAGTGGGTAAGTAAAGCACATTGGGGTATGAACACAGCAAGTGGTTACCAAGGGTAACAGAGGTTTACCAAGCAGCCTGTCATGAGTCATGTACCTGTGACAAATGGGACAGTCTCTTGCAGCGGCGGAGCAGATCAGTGCTCAGAGGTTCCCAGACTGGGCACTGAGTACAGAAGAAGAAGAAGAGTTAATGCAGGGCATGCATGGTCCACACTAGGTTCTCAGTGGGGCTCCATTCCATTACTGGGTGTGACATAGCGGAGAAATACGCTGGATAAGTGGAGTGGGTATAGGCTCAGCTTGTCCCTCCTAATGCAACAAGAGTAAGTACAGTGCACATTGACATGGGGAGGAGAGCATTAAAGCAATTCTAAAGGTTCATTTTCTTTGTAAAATAACAAACATGTCTATACTTACCTGATGTGTGCAGTGGTTTTGCACACAGCAGTCTGGATCCTCCTCTTCTCGTGTCCCCCACAGGCTCTCTTGGCTCCCCCTGTCTGTTGGGTGCCCCCACAGCAAGCAGCTTGCTAGGGGGGCACTCACTGCTCCTTGGGTCCATTCACACACAATGCCGTGTCTTGGCCCCACCCCCTCTCTCCTCATTGGCTGACTGGCTGTGATTGACAGCAGCTTGCTGTTCTCAGCCAATGAGGAGGCAGAGACCTGGGACAGCCGAGGCTGTTATTCACATCGCTGGATCACGATGAGGCTCAGGTAAGTATTGAGGGGACTGGGGGCACTGCTGCACACAGAAGGTTTTTTCCTTCATGCATACAATGCATGAAGGTGAAAAACCTTCAGCCTTTATAACCACTTTAACTTAAGTACAATTTATTGTAGTGTACACGGTGTATGGCCATCTCTAAAGTTAGAGGTCCACCTTAAAGTCGAGTATTCCCTGAAAGTGGCTTTAGCCTTGTCTTGTGGTATTGATGGTTTCGGCACAAGTAAAGGTACCCCATGTGCCAGAGAAGGGTCCCTATTCCAAGGTGCCTAGTGTAGCTCAGTAGAACTTCAGGGGGTAGTCCTCCAGGCATCAGCCTAACAAAATGATGTCTGGTTTCAGCTATGGAAAGGTCTGTACAACAAGAAACCCTCCTCCCAGTCCTACAAGCGGGGACCCTAAAGAAGAGGTGGGGAAGATGTGGTGACAACAGATGGTATGATCACAGGGGATTGTCATTGCTGGAAGAGGGCAGACTAGTAGCTAAGTATGTCATACTGTGCAAGAATGCTTATGGCAAAATCCTACCTCCATCCAGTACACATTAACTACACTATAATTTGTATTTTTTTTTATCTACCTGGAGTTCAGGTTTCATAATCTATGCCAAATGGACAGTTACTACTAGTGGGAAAATTAGGTAAATATTTGAGTGTAGCCAAAGAGGCTTTCAATTTATAAACTAAGCTATGGCAGTCTTGTTGTTTGTCCATTCAAATATTGTTCCAGCTCTTTAGATTAATAGTTGAGTGGCCAATTCTCTCCATGTAAGGACTTTTTGGACCTCATTGAAAGCCTTTTACCTTATTCTGGACTAAGTTAGGGAAGTTCTTTCTTCACATTATCTCTTCTATATATCTTTTTTCTTCTTTATAATAGTTCTTTCTGAAATATACAAATGGGATTTATTATTCCAAACTTTTAATTCAGCTTGCTCAAAAAATTATGGTTTTGTCAGCATAAAGGAGAAATTTCACCGTTGCTGGTTTTGGTCTAAAAGAGTTAGAGTGATTATCTGATTGAATTCTGAGAGATCTCCCTATTTGCATTGATTCTCCTTCAGCCGGCAAATTAAACTGCTGTGGAATCCATTTTGAGACAAGTTGAAATAATTACTCAGTCTTTATTTTATCTAGAAGACCTATTATTCTGACATCACATATTTTGCTTCTATCTCTATAGATATATTCTTTACATGAATGACTGCTCTAATTAAATTTCTCATTTTAAGTCAATAGGTCTTGAGACTAGGGTGCAGAATTATAAATTGCTCCACTGGCCTTTACAAAAGGTAACTTTTTTTTTTTATAATACATATATAGAAATTTTAGAGGAATAAGCCTACAGGTCTGAAAAAGGCACAATTTGCTGAAGCACAGAGGTTGGTAAGTACAAACGAAAGGAATCAGAAATGTGTAGCACTCTCCTGGTTAGGTGCTATTAGGTAGATAGGATTTAGGTACATTTAGTTGGGCTCTACTGTAGTCATTGGACCTGAGTTGATTGATTTGGTTTGCTCTGGGTTCTGCAGCTACAGACTTGCCTGTCTTTCCATAAAGTGCTGGAACATACTAGATGGAGAAAGTAGAGCCTGAGCTGATCATGTATATAGCCTCAGCCAATCCCTGGTTGGGAGTGTGACCAGCAGGGAGCTGAGGTGTATATGAGGTCCAGCCCATGGAATAGTAGGATCCTTTGCTTGCTGAAGAGTGACCCAGCCTGGAAGTGCTGGTAAAGTGTAACCAAACCCACAACAGTAAAATCAGTCTGTATATGCAGTAAAGAATGCTTGTTAGACTCTGCACATGCTCAGTTTGGTGTGTATTGCTAGAGAGGGGTTTTCAGGGGGGAGGGAGCATGCGATCAGCACAGGACCAATCAGCACTGTCCAGACAGAGTGTCAGGGGTCATGCAGCCTCATAGGACAGTCAGATGAGAAAACACCTCCTACAAGATTAACCAGAGCTCAACTGGACACTGATAGAAGTCACAAGATTGCTTTATACTGCTGATTAGAAAAGGTATTTAGCAGTTTATATTTACTAAAATAATTGCATTTCCAAGTTCTGTGTACTGTGGGAGACCAGATATAGTGGATGCAGGGTCCTGGGTTAAGTAACACTTTAAACATTCCAAGGCCTTTGAAAAATTCTGAGGAGTTCTGGCTCAGATAGGAGCTGAAAAACTCACTACAAAAAAAGAGCAAACAATTTGAAAAAAAAAAGTTTCTTTGTTTCTATGATAAAAGGCAGCACTTATGGGCACTGATAGGCGGCACTGAGGAGTTGGCATGCATAGGCAGCACTGATGGGCACTGATGAGTTGGCATGGATAGGCAGCACTGATGAGGTGGCACTGATGAAGCTGCACTGGTGGGCATTGATGAGGAGGCACTGATTATGCTGCTCTGATATGCAGCAATGATGGTTAATGATAGGTGGCACTGATGGGCACTGATAGGCGGCACTGACTGGGGGCACTGCTGGGCAAAACTGCTGGGCACTGCTGATCAGGGCACTGATTATCAGTGCAGGTCTGCTCTGTGTCATTTGCCAGTTATTTGCAGTACTTTCTGTGACAGCATGAGGAAAGTGCTGCCGATAACCGGCAAGTGTATTTACTTTGTGATCTCCTGTGTCATTGAACACAGCTGATCACGTGGTAAAAGGCAGCTGTGATTGGCCTTTTACTTAGTCATGTGATCAGCAACGTCCGTAGGACACAGCAATCACTGACAGCACCAGGTGCGTGTCGTTGGCGGCACGTGGGGGGCATGTTCTAAGAGAACGTCATATGACGCCCTCCTAGAACTGGACAACCACACTATAGCCTTCATTAGGCTACAGCATGTTTGTAAATTGGTTAAACTCACTTGGTGCCCTATCTGCAGTAAATTTGCCCCAGAACCTGTTTAAATAATATGTGTTCGGTTTTAAAGGGATGAGGTGGCAACCCTACAGTACTGTTCATATTATAAAAACATGAAGCATTAGCATCGCGTCCCTTCAAAATTGAAGTCTCATGTCAAGTCTATAGGAGTTTGAAGCCTTTCAGCGTCTCCCATTCAAGTCTATGGTAATGATCCGCAAACACGCTGGCAGGCATTTGCAAGGCGGTTGTGGCACTTTAATAACATTTCAGTTTATTATAGGTGTTTGTGATGCGGTTTTAACATGCCTTTAACGTGTATCAAATGTGCCAGAAACGCAAATACGGCGTTTGGGGAGCATTTTTAGCACGTGTTAAATGCGAGTCAAAATCACCAATAACGCGCATTAACCAGGGGTGTATTTATCACAAGGCAAACAAGGCATTTGCCTAGGGCGGCATTTCTCAGGAGGGGCAGCACTGCCCCTCAGAAGAACGGATGGAAGGAGGGACACACACGGCACGGGGACCTGGTGGGTTCAGAGAGAGGCTGCAGGTTTCATGATGGTGTATGCACAGCCCGACTCTTGTTCTCGGGGATGTCCGGAGCTGTTAAGGTGAGTGTCTCTCTCACCATAGGGGATGGTGGCTGGTGTATGGGGGGGCAGTGGTAGTGGAAGGCTCTCTCAGGTGGGAGGCAGGGGTGTTTTTGGTCAATGTCAGGCTCTTTGTAAGTACACCACTGGCATCTAGAACAGCTAGAATTTTGAGTCATGTTTGAACAAGCCCTTAGAAGAATACTGTGTACCTGGCTGAAAATACTGTGTGACTGGCTGCTTGCACAATAGGATCAGAATCTGGGTTAATCAGAAGGACCAGCATAAAGTGTGTACTACAAATGTAAATCTTCAAACAGTGAACATTTTACATACTGCATGATCATCGCTGTCTCACTTGACTAAACTATGCTCAAGCCTAGAGACAGAAAAGAGAAGAAAGAAGTAAGAAGAAAGGAAGGGAGGAAATAGGTAAAGAATTAAAAACCTTTATTAAAAAAAGCACGAGGCTCGTTGTATCATTTCAATGGGAGGTACAATTCCTTCATAAGTATCACAGATGGGATAGACGTTAACACAACAATTACCTGAGATGCTAAAAATAACACAGTCTCTTTGCGAATTGAATTATTCATGTTTTTGTGCATTTTTTTTTGTCTTGTGAGCTCTTCCAGAGACATAGGGGATTATCAGAATGAAATTAGGAGACAATCTAAGCAACAGCGAGAGGCTCAGTGTGTCTCTGAAGAAACGGGTACATTAAATATTTTCAAGAAGTGTCTTGCAAGACATTTAAATTGCACAAAAGACACCCCTGAAAAGAGTATGTACAGAACAAGTGAGCTGATTCCGTTACAAGAATACACACTATAAATACCTCCACAGAACAAATATAAGCATCAAAATCCACCCTTGCAGGGATATTTGAACATAAAAGTCACAACAAAACCTTTAGTGCCCGTTTACACTTACATTGCCGTTCTCCTGAAAAACCTTCCACTGTGGATTTCTTTTCAAATGTATTTCACAGGCTGCTAAGAGGCAAGATGTCACCTCAAGGACACCTCCTTTTAACCCTTGAAAGGCCACAGCCCTGCATTCCTATCATGTGCATTACATGCAACTGCACCACAGACCCATTCATCTGTATAATCTTTGCCACAACATGTGTAAAACTGCCACCAGCCACTATGTTAGGTTAACCCCTTCACGCCTAAGAGTAAAACAAATCTTAATGCCCAAGCACAACTTTGCAACTTTGACATGTGTTAGTAAAACTGTACATTTCATCACAGCTACTTTGTACATCCAGGTGAATTATACCTTGTTTTTGCAGGACACAGTGGGCTTTCATTTGTGATAAATGGTAATGGATATCTCCTGATTTGTTTTTCATTATCAAAGGAAAACTGTCCCAAAATATTAAAAAAAAAAAAATTTTTTTAAATTTAGCTGTGTGTTTCTTGTTACTACCATAACCTACCACCAAAGAACAACCCAAAATAAATTTTCCAGCTCTTGATGCTCGCAGCGATATAATATACAGTATGTGTATGTTATTTGTTGTTTGTACCTGTACTACAGCCCACAAACAATAGTGCACATTTTGTTTTTTGTTCTGTTTTTTTACCTGAAACACACTGACACTGATACCAATTTAAAAAAAAATCCTGACCTTTGACCCTTAGCTTTGACCCTGATCTTGACCCAAACACTAACCCTGGCACTGAACTAGATTAAACCTTGATATAGGTATTTCTTCTTTATTTTTTTTTATTTATTTATATAATTTTTTTTTACAAATAGTTATATTTTTTCTCTATGCAAGGATACAATGTATCTCTCTTCTCCATTCAGAGAGAAAAAAACAAGGGGGGGCGGGCTTCACAGTGACTGATCACTGTGATAGCCAATAAGAGGCAATCACGGCGATCATGTGACCCGGAATTGGGAGTTCTGGGTCCCGATCGTTAGAATGTGACCCGGAATTGGGAGTCCCGGGTCCCGATCATTAGAATGTGACCTGGAATTGGGAGTCCTGTGTCCTGATTGTTAGAATGTTACCCGGAATTGGGAGTCCCGGGTCCTGATCGTTAGAACGTGACCCGGGGCTCTTAGTGATACCCTGGTCTTTGTGCTGGGAGTGCATTGTGCGACGCGCTCCCAGCACAAAGACAGCTATGCAAATATGCGGTCCCACGGGGAAAAGCCTAGTTCTGTAAGGCCACATATTTGTGTGACGTCGGCATCAAGGGGTTAAAGCAGTAGTAAACCGCTCAAAGAAAAAAAAAGTGGGCAGGATAATGTCATAATGTGCTAGTAAGCATCGCATGCTAGCATAGTGTGACAGACTTACCTTAAAACAAAGACCTCCAGTGACACGCTGTCACTGCTAAGAGAACTTGCATCTTCACCTGGTTTTCCTTTCAGGTTCGCAGACTCCCTCCATTTGAATGGCCAAGCCATGATGATGTCATTCCTGTGCATGAGGATGGCATGCTGTCCATTTAGGGTGCAGTGTGCATGCCCCAGAGATGTCATTAACTGCTACTAAAGTAAATATATCCTACACGGTGCACGTTTAGGAGATATTCACTGTGCCTACAGCAGGGGCGGACTGACAACTCATGGGGCCCCCGGGCAATAGGGGATCATGGGCCCCTGTGACCTTGCCCAAACTCAAAAAAGTCTATGAAAAAGGTACCACGGGCATCTCATTGGGCCCCCTACTGACCCCGGGCCCTTGGGCAGTGCCCGAGTTTCCAAATGGTCAGTCCGCCCCTGGCCTACAGGTAATTTTTATTATCGGTGTTGAAGGGTGCTGAAAGGGTGTCCAGTTATTAAACCCCAGTTCACTGCTCAATACGCAAATGGCAGAAAGCCAACCCATCTACCTGATAAAAGGTTTTGGGCATACATGCCATCCTAAACCATACCCTTGACTAGTTGGGGCTGTCATCTGTTTCTAATTACACTCACCAGCCACTTTATTAGGTACACCTTGCTAGTTCCAAGAAAATATTCTCCACTCCATTACACCACCACCATCTGAATGTCGCAGCAACCAGTTTGCCCATTCTTCTCTGATATCAACAAGGCATTTTGGTCCACACAACTGCCACTCACTGGATATTTTCTCCTTTTCAGACCATTCTCTGTAAACCCTAGAGATGGTTGTGCGTGAAAATCCCAGTACATCAGCAGTTTTTGAAATACTCAGACCAGCCCATCTGACACCAACGACCACTCCACGTTCAAAGTAATTTAATTCCCCTTTTTTCTCCATTCTGATGCTCTGTTTGAACTTCAGCAAGTCATCTTCAGCAGGTCTAGATGCCTAAATGCATTGAGTTGCTGCCGTGTGATTGTGCAATTTGTGTTACGAAGCAATTGAACAGGTGTATGCAGGGGCGGACTGACCATTTGGAAACTCGGGCACTGCCTGAGGGCCCGGGGTCAGTAGGGGGCCCCATGATATGCCACTGGTATCTTTTTCATAGGCTTTTTTGAGTTTGGGCAAGGACACAGGGGCCCCATAAGTTGTCAGTCCGCCCCTGGGTGTATGTAATACAGTGGCTGGTGAGTGTAAATTGCCTCTGATACATTACATTACACCTACCTAAAAACTTGAATACTGAATACTTTTGTTGTTTCATTTCGATAAATTTGCAATACACATGTATAAGAAATGTAAGAAGAAACCTTTGTTTCTTCAAACCCTTGGATTTAAAAGTCAACCAGTGTTTTGGAAATTTTAGCTGATTCCTGCTTATGCCCTGGTTCACAGCTTTTCTTCAGAGTAGAAACAGATAGGAATCTGCAACAGTTTTTTTTAAACCCCGCAATGTGATCACCCAGAGGGGATTGTTTTTTCTCAAAAAAAGTGGAGTTCCTGACCAGGCCATTTTTTGGGATAGGGCGCTGTGTTACTTTAACTGACAATTGCACAGTCATGCAACACTGCACCCAAATTACATTTATGTCCTTTTTTTCCCCACAAACAGAGCTTTCTTTCAGTGGTATTTGATTGCCTCTGCAGTTTTTGTTTGTTTGCACTATAAACAAAAAAAGACGGACATTTTTTAAAAAAAACAATATTTTTGACTTTCTGCTATAAAACATATCCAGTAAAAAAATATGTTAAAAATCAAATTTCGGCATAAATATACACCAAAATGTATTCTGCTACATGTCTTTGCTACAAAAAATCCCAATACATGTCAATTAATTGGTTTACGGGAAAGTTGTAGTGTCTAC